CATGCTGTACAGATGTTACTGAAAATTATAATTTTTTATTCTTTTCTGACTTGATAAATGTAAAAAGACCAGGAATGTTCCTGTTAAAAACAAAATCTGTTTTTCTTTTCCCTTATGTTTATGGAATAAAATTGGCTCCCTCTGCTGGCAGACATAATCCTAGGTAATCTAAGCCTGTGAAGCTTTGAAACAATGGCACTCGAATTGGATTCCTAACTACAAACATGTCACTGTGCAATGTTAGAAGAGATTTATAGTACACAGTGTCTGTATGTGGGTAGATAAGCACATAATTCTTTTGTTTTTTATCTTGCTAAGCTATAACCCTTATATTTAAACAAATTTATTTTCTGGTTTTGGCTCTGTTGTAATTCAAGCAAAAAATCAAGACTGTGTTCTTTAGAGAAATCACTTCCAAATGCAAACTTCTAAGATTGCATATAGAACAGTTAAGCATATTATTTTGCATATTCCATGAGTAACATGAAATATTTTAGAAATACTTGATTAAAATTTGAAAAACTGTTGTAGGGGAATCTGCTTCACATTTGTGATTTGTCTTTGGCATATCATATGTGAAGGCTAAGAAATACACCTCCCTTATTCACCCATTGCTGTTCTATTGACTTCATTTCACCATGTATTGGCATTTGCATAATCACTTTTTAAGTTGCAGGGATAGTCTGACATTTTTATTTACCCTGACAAGGCAGAACCAGAAGCTGCGTATTACTCCACATTGCTTTTCATTACCAATGGAAAGTAAGAAAGAATTGAAAGTAACTTTTTGGTACGCCAAAAAAGCGTGGTAATTACCAACACTAATGTAAGAAAGTACAACTTTCCACGTATGCACTGGTGTTTTTAAACTAGTAAAAGGGAAAAAGAATAGTATATTGGTCTGAGTAGCCTTCTTATCAGTGTAATTGTATTACTGTTTTATCAACAGAATAAAAATTCATGTTCCCAAATGAAATGTTTTTATTGGAAAAGAACCCTAACTGTATGTGAAGTAGGTTTCAAAATTGAAAGGGGGGCACTGGTTGTGAAGTATCACTATGTGCTCACAGATACAGTTAGGATGGACTCATTAAAAATATTTGTAAAGAGAAAAATTTCACATATCCAACAGGAATTCCACAGAGAGAAATTAAAACTAGTATTTTGAATTCTCCACTATTATTTCCATCCTAAGAATTTTAAAGAATGTATTTATTTTTCGTTCATTATATCTAGGTTTAATAGAAGGAGAATTGTGAACTGAATTTTTTATAAGTATGAAGCTCATAGCTCATAGATTTTAAGAAACGTGGTAAGACATTTTTCAAATCACCTGCTTCCCCACTGAATTACTTTTGTAATTATTTACTTTATGTACTTTCCAATGGAAAGCTTATCTTCTGATATTTGGACCCTAATCCTATGATTGGATTTGCTAGTGTAGATTCTTGCTCTCACGCAGAGCTCTATTGAAATAAATTTGACTTCACGAGTATTCAAGTCATTAAATCTAATTACAGGACTGGATGTACCACAGTTTTTCATTTTTACAAAAACTCTTGTAATTTGTACAGTGTTATTCTACAAAAATCTGATAAGTTTCTCTTAATTTACATTTCAGATCATTAAATGTAAAGAACTACAAGACTGCACAGCTGACATCTTATTAGGTACAAAAGGTGAAATGAAGGGTACACTTTATAGACTCTGTAAAATGTTAACAAAGTGAATAAATGTGAAAAGTGGAATTCAAGTATATAGGGCAATCCAATCTGTTTAATTATTGAGAATGCAATCTTTTGTTTCTAAGTATAAAGCTATAATAAATAATTTAAGATCATTAAGTCCAAGGTTGTATTCTTATATAAATTTTCATCTTATTGCTTAACAGGACTTTTGAAATGTACTTTTAGAAAACATACTCTCTAATGAGTAATTTGAGTTGCAAATTGACTATATATTGCAGTAGAAGAAAGGGCATGTATTTAAAGTGACTGTCAGTGTATGTATTAACCAAGTTACTCACATGTGGCCCACAGGGAAACTAAGGTCATTGTTTCCCTTTAGTAAAATTACAACTTGTACTTTCTTTCAACTATAATTTTGTGTAAGAGCTGTCTTCAAAACTAAAAATTATATATTTTTATGACCTTCTCAAAATGACCAATATCAAGCGTTGTTCAAAACCAGACCACAGGCAGGCTGGTATGAAGGGAGGAGTCATCTCTACATACCAGCGTCTTTTCCCGCCCTTCCTGAATTTCCTGACAACCGTAAGTGCTGCCATATTCCCCAAGAGCAGCTTAATTTCACTTTGCGTACATGAAAGGTTCCTAACAAATCTGATCCGTCTTTCAAACTAGCTGCTTCTCAGATTGAACTGTGATCCTAAATGTACACCTTACCTCCATCTTAATTATTTTTGTCAGGTTTTTTATATGTGGTCCAAGAAATTTGTTCATGTAAATCAAAGCTAATTTATTATAAAAATTTTAAATACTCATCATTTATTTATCCAAATTTTTACACGAAGAAAAAATTTCTTTATTAGTTTTTATTACAGATTTATCGTACTACTGTACAATATTCATGAAATGGTAACCTTCCTGCTCTTCACAAGATAATAGTTTTTTAAAGAAATTCCAGACTGGATCTCACATTTCTTGGCATCAATGAAAAGAAAAATTAAACCAAGAACTGTTGGTCAGGTCTTCCAGCATGTGTTGAAGCATAAAAACCGTTGCCTTGAGATCAACAGGACCCAACAATATTTTAAGATATTAATTTATACAAGAATTTCGATGTTTTCTCTATCCAAAGATGTATAACAGAATTCATTCTTTCTTTGTTTATACCTTGTATTAGATAATGGTACTGGTGCAGACCTTAGGTACCTTAGTATCATCAGGAACATTTTCCATATTGTTCACTTGTGAGGTCTGCAGACACAGTGTTCCTAGGTAGACTGAACTGTACTTTACTTCCTCCTAACTGCTGTTCTGATGTAGTATAGCTGATGAAGACCACTATGAGGTTTTTCTTTATGTCCTTCTGTCTCTTTTCTTTCTGCAATTCCTCCTCTTCTATTTTCTGTATTTCAATAATCTTTTCATTCAGTAACAAGATGGAAATACTGAAAGCTGATTAAAATGTATAGAGCTTAATTAAAAAAAACAATCCAGCTTGTTTGAGAAGATGTTAGTGTATGTGGACTAGCCTCATGTGCTCATCCTGGGAGCCAATAACTTCACCTGTTAAGTCCGCACTAGAAAATGCGTGGTCCTAAGGAGCTGACACCCAATTTTAGCTAGGGCCTCAGTATGCTGTTTTAATACAAATGATAATTTTGTCCCTTGGCTTCTTGGCAGTACCTTTGACTGTAATGGTGGAATTTAGGACTTCCTTAGATTTGGTTACCCAGTTACCTAATGTAAGGAGGACATTAGACATTACCTACATTGTCTTCATAATAAGAGCTTTCCTTTCTTATAGTATAGATACAGCCAGTCACCTTTATAACTGATTCTGACCACAATTTAATAGTTACAATCTGAAGCAACTTCATGTTTATGCAAGTGTTAAATGCAATAAAAGACATGACCATCTACTCGATAGCCCAAGTATTCACCACTTTAATGTCCTTATTGACTTTGGGTGTGCAATGCAAAATTGTGGCATAATACTTTTGCCTATCTCCAGCAAAAAACCACAACAAACCCTTTTGTATGTTTTAAACATTTTTTACAGGAAAAAGCATTAAGAACTAGACTTAGATCTTTAATGTAGTTTTTAGCCTACTATGTGTATCAGTCATGATACAAAAACATGCTTTGTTACCTTTACAGTCTTGTATTACGAACCAGATAAATAATTGATGATTTGCTGCAATCAGTCTTTATTAATTACTGGAGAAATAGGAAGAATTGGATTACTTTTATGTCTCTGAAGAGATCATGCCTTTTACTGGCCAGAAGCTTGTACACCTAGTGTTGTACTAATAGGAAAGTGAAGATAAATAATTACTTCTAAGTCTGTTCTGGAAACACGAATAACTAATTACATGGTTTTACTTTCATGGATTTATTTACTAAGGAGTGAGTAAAAAAAGAAGTTCCTAAAAAAATAGTGCTAATAATAGTGTTGCAGAGATACTGCATACAGGTAGCTTCAACCTCACAGAGTATTACATGCAGTATTTTTGAGAAATTCTTCCTCCCCATGGTCCCTTGGCTGAGAAAATCAGAGTATTTGTGCAGTGATTATATCCAAGAGGATGATTTTTGCGTCTTTTGTAGCTATGACCCTGCTCTCTGAAAATGTTTACACTGAAAATCTTAAAATTCATGTTTAACTAATAAGCTTTCTAAGTCAGTATCTAATATAAAGAGATAAAGGGCACCTTGTGTTGATTAAACATAGACAAGAATTAGATGTCATCTAAACCATATGTAAACATAGATCAAACTTAATTTAGGACTTCTTGCAGAAATAACATGTGAAATGTGGCATGTACTAAGCTGTTCAGCTAAAAGGTCGTTAAGATTTCCTTCTGACTCTGAAATCCTAGGGACAGAATTCTCTCTCCTGTAAACTGTCACAGTTTCATTAAAGTTCTTTATACTACTTACATTGTATAAGGACCTGCTTTTCTGAATCTGTGAAATTCAGCCAAGTATCAAAAAATCAGGCAGTTCTTTTTAGAACATAACAAGAACATGGAAATGACTGGACATCAGAATTGTAAATGTTTTGCAAAAGAAAATGGTTTATTACAATTTATTTGAAGCAATAGACTTGTAGGTTATCAGGAATTGCCTGGAAAAGAAATTCAGCTAATAAGATATTGCAGAATAAAGCTCATACCTTGGAAATCGTGTTTCAAGGCTTTATACTTAGAACAGAAATTTCTGTACAAATTCTGGTGGAATATTCAGAGCAACAGTTATATTGCAAGGTATGAGTACCATAGTACCTGGTAACCAGGCTTCCTTTGCCACAGACTAGAGATGTAACTTGGCATTGGAGATAAATATAATCCTCATGCAAGTGGCTGAATTCAACCTGTAATACATCTCTCTCATGTCGGTACTCCACAGGAGATGTTCTAATAGTAAGCAGTCTTCGGTCAATTTTCTAATGTCGCCTTCGTATTTGGAAGCGTCTTGTCTACGTTCCTGCAGTTTGTTCTTAAGTAACTGATTTTCCTCTGTGACGTTTGTTACTACTGTTGATAACCTCTCGCATTCTCTGATTACACTGGTCAAGTTAGACTTTAAAAGATCAATATCTGCTTTTGCATTTCTGAGTTCAGTCATGAGTTTCTTTTCTGTATAAGCTTTATCTGATTGGATTTTCTCAAAGTCCTTCTGCAGGATCTGCTTAGTATCAGAACATTCCTGCAGGGTCATTTCAAGGTTAAGTTTTTTGGCTTCCAGAGTTTGCATTAACTGAAGATGAGTTTCCAGTTCAGATTTCGCTGTGGTTTCTTTTTCTTTTGTTCGTTGCATTTCATTCCGATTTCTTTCAAGCTCTTGCTCTAGGGAACTATTTTCTTTTGTAAGCTGGGATATTTCCATCTTAAGTTTTTTATTTGTTTCTTGTAACTTGAAGCATTCCTTTTGTAAGAACTTTTGGGTTGCACTGAGCCTCTTTCTTTCACAGGTAACGGCAGTCACCTTTTCTTCTTTCTGGTTCCTAATTTGAAAATCATGTTGTGTCTGTATTGAATGTTGGTTTCCATTATGGAGTTGATTCCTCTCTTCCTCAAGGATGTTTTTCTGGTTTTGGAGTTCTTTACATTTCCTTAGGAAGTTCTTTGCTTCCTTAATACATTCCTTGTTATCTTCTTGTGATTTAACCAACAGGATTTGCGCACTTTTCTTTTCTTCAGCTAAATCCTTAATTTGCGTATTACATTTTGATATTTTTTCTTTCGAAGACTGTATGGTAAGGGTAAGAGGTTCCACTTTGTTCTTGAGAGCTAAATTTTCATTCGGAAGATCATGTACTGTTTTTTGCAAATGCTCAGAATTTTTCAGGGACTTTTGCAATGCTTCAGTTTTGCCATCATATTCAGAGGCTACTTTGATTTCGCTGAACTTCTGATTTCCTGGTCTCAGTAACGTTAGATTTAAAGTAGTCTGTTGTTGTTCTTTTTCTTTTTTTAGTTGCTCTTTGTTATCAAGCATTAGTAGCTTATCTTTCACCATCTCGGAAAAAGAATTAACCGGGAATCTGTCACCTTCGCTGTAATTGGTTCTGAATTCTTGATGTACATTTTTGCTTTGAGATTCTGCTTTTTCACTGTCTACTGTTGTAGGAGAACCACCGCATACATTGGCACGTTCGGAGTCTTCATAAAATTCTTGATCAAAATGTAGGCCTTTATCTGGAACTAAACCGATATGTGATTCTTCTAAAGAGGTCACAATTTCTGCACTTTCTTTTAAGTTAGTTAATTTTTCTCTGGATAAAAAGCCAGATTTTCCCGTATTATTTGCTAACAAATCCAAATCATTACGGACTGACTTTGGAAATTCTTGTTTCAGCAACTTGGTAGGATAGTTGGTATTGTCTATTTTATGAAATTCTTTCCCAAATTTGGGAAAAGGTATATGATGTTTAGATTCACTCAAAATGACCTTCTCATGGGCAGCATTCAACCCTTCTGTCTCCAAATTAGTGCCAGATAGTAAATGTCCATATTTACGGTCGGTTTTTGTTGTAAGTATCCTGTTGTTTCCACACAGATCTTTGGAATTGTCAACCTTTTCAGTTGCTTTAGTTTTAAGTGAAATCCTGTGTGGAATATTTATATCACTGACGAAATTTCCAGTATTGGAATTTGCTTCCACATGCTCATCTGAACAGGGTTGTTGATGATGATGAACTTTTCTCTTAGAAGGCAGCGATTCAGGATTTTCCATAAGCTACCCCACAAAATTAAAAACAAATGTACAAAAAACTGTCATGCTGTAAAAATTGTGAAACATTGCAGTACTGGAAGCATAAAACTACATTGTTACCAAAGCCACTTATCAATCACAACTTGTACAGTTTACCTCTGCCAATGCCATTTACCCATTAAAAGAATGTAAACAATTATCGTAGGCCCCATTTCATTCAGTACTGGGCTTTGGAGCAGGCACAAAATACCAAGGAAGTGTCTTAAGTTGATTAAGTATATTTCCAGCAGAGGAGAGATGACTTAAGGAGACTATAGTTTGTCTTTGATTGTTTTTGTTATCCCAGTGCCTGTGAAATAAGGACAAAAAAAAAAAGTAGGAATTATGCAGCATTTCATAGGAGAGGGACAAAATTTATTCCCCGTCCTCATTTCTCTCTCTTTTCTCCTTGACTCTCTGCCCTGTCTCCCTAAATGGTTTGCACTGCATTCCGTGCCCACTGAAGATAATCCAAATTAATTTGGGGAAGATCAGGTTACAGTTTTACCTGCGCAGAAGAGAAACTGGGTTTTAATCATAATGGGTGGGAGGGAATAGTATATGTAATTATGGCTAAAGTTCTGCTACCCAGAAAAATCTCAGGAAGAAGATAATTTATTATTTATTTTTTTTTTAAATCCAGAATACCCCTTGGGTTATTTTCCAAAAAACCATGTCACTCTCAAAAACCAAGGTCCAGCTGAAGAATAACTTGTTTGTAGGTAAAGATTGTTAAACATACCAGAGATGCATCGCTTGGTGTGGAAGTCATCAGAATCTTGTCTGAACTACGTAGTGGAGTTCTCATTTCAAATATATCTTTATTTAGTATCTCACAGATTTTAGACTGTACCTGGAAAAGATTGAGATTCTTTACAGAAAATTTAAGTGTAGAAATATTTCATTTTCCAAAAATATCCTATTACTCAAGAAGTTGTCTCTTAGGAAGGACAGACCAGAAGAAAGTGGCATGTAGGAATATGGAATTGTTTATAACCAACAAAATGTAACGCTAAATGTCCTTCCAGCATCAGATATTTAGCTTTTATATAAAGAACCAGATAAAACGATGGCAGAAAAATGCTCCTGAAAAGGTGGCTTAGCATGGCAGTTTGCAACAATAGAACAGGTTCTGCTGACAGTGACATAATGTGGAATTAACTTCTTTGAAAACAACAAAGCTTCCTTGAGTTTACAGTGATATAAATGAGAGAAGGATTTACTCCTCCTTTTTTTTTTTCCTAACTCAGTTTTGTTTTTCCTCTGTTTTTCTGAGGTTTTAAAGTAGTTTTTATAAGCCCGCAAATAATACTGTGACTAAGAAAGAGCAAGAACCTAGAAGTGAGATTATCTTATCAGCTATTTTAAGATGGACAGATGATTAAATGTATATTTAATGTACACAATAGTCTAAGAATAGATCTTACTTAAAACACCTATGGCAGTGTCTAAAAATGCAGCAGGAGGCTTTTGTATTTTAAGAGCATTTGTGTTCTACTTTTACCGTGTTAATATCCTCCAGAGTCTGTTGCTGAAATGTCTTAAATGATTCCAGCTGTTGCTGAAGAATCTAAAATGTATAAAAGAATATCAGAAAATTGGTTGGTAGGGGTTTTTTTTGTTTTAAATATTGAGATGAGTTAGGATATTTTCTCAGATGAAATTATGTTTCTTTTCCAGTCCCAAGATTGTTTTCACCCAGCCTAAGTCAACAGGAGTTCATCAAATGCTTCTTTCACTGTTCAGCAGCCATTTAGAAGCTTATTTGCGGTATTGGAAGGATTTCAGCATAGCTCTTCACAGACAGTTGCTCACGTTACAGAAAGCACTGTCACATCTGGCATTATGTCGGATCTTAGTCTTTGCAGTGAGACCAAGTGGGCTTCTGTTAGAATTCATACTCCAGTTCCAAAAATCATCTTTCTGGTTTAGACTGCAGTCTGCTGGTTGGACAACATAAGAAAGTTGGACTGTCTCTAGGATTAGTAAAGGGAAACCCTAGTATTCTGCATGAACAGAAGTAATATTGGCTAAGCTCTTAACGACTTAGAAATGCTTTAACATAAACAGTGCAAATTCTTTACATAGATCAAAGGATTTTTCTCTGAATGAATCACTCTTAGGTCACAGGAATTCAGAAGCTCAGTGAAAATCTCAGCTAAAGGAATGAGCATGTGCCTAGAGCAAAACTTGTCTACCTTTCTATGCATTCTGCTTTGGAAGAAAATTCCCCAAAACATAAAAGAGGAAGCAAAGAGGCAGACAGAGAAGTCCTGTACATCATATACCCGAGTTATGCAACTATACTGATACTAAAACCAAAACCCAAACGGACTTCGCTAGTCATTATTCAAGTGGAAACTGTAGTTTGCAAGTCACGCTATCAATTTCAGAATACTTCAGCAAGTCTGATTTTTTACTGAAAAACATCAGTGAAGAGTGACAGCTCCTATTGTACGGTCCTAGCCCTGCATAGTTAGAAGTATATTGAAACAATCAAACAATCACTGTATTTATATTAACCACCTCACTTTGTTGAGCCATGTAAAAGAGACTAGCTTTAGAGAAGTCTGTGAATACCAAGAATTAACACTTCACCTGAGCAGCTCCTGAAATAAGGCCTGTAATGAGTAGCTAGCCTGAGCTGCTCTTGCTGCTCTGGGGAAGCCTGGTGCAGGCCAGTTCGTCAGTGGGGTTTTGGCACCAGGCACATCCACGTACTTAAATACACCCTATGGGAATTCTGCTAGCTAAGACTCTTTACGCCCAGTCATCCTGCTCCCCTCTGCAGTCGGAATCAAATCAGCTTACTTCCAATGTTTGCGGGTCAGCCGGGTCTTCTGCTCCTACTGTGTGATTATCTGCAAACAAAAAAGACACTTCTACAATTAGCAGAGCTTGACGTTCACAAGAGGAGCGATTTCAGATCTAACAAGGGAAAACGGAGAGAATTCGGCTTTGCTGTTCAGCCTGAGGAAGGACGTAATTGCTTGTTTCTCCCGCTCTGGATTGTCCGAGCCCTGCTGCAGTTCCTGGCACAGGGCAGGATCGCCTACAGGACAATTAGTGCCTGGAAGGTCCCTGGGGAGCAGCCAGGCTCCCGCCGGGAGCGGCTGTCTCTTTGAAAGAGGCGAAAGCCTACCTCGAGGGCCTCCCGCCGCTGTCTCTCTGTGTGCCTTTTCTTGTCACCCTGTCTCCCCAGGGTTGGACCTCTTCCAGGTTCATGCTAGCATTGTCTGCCTATGATGGGGCCCTTTGTGCTTCAGCTGTGCTCCAGTTGCATCCTGCCAGATGAGGGGGCTGCAGGGGCCTTTGCCTGCTCAGGAAGGGTTGTTCAGTTTATAGTCTTGTCTGCAGCATCCAGAGAAGCACCAGGTGCTCAGAGCCCCCTCCTCCATGCCCAAGGCCAACTCTTTGCTCCATGCAGGAAGCAGTGGCTCCTGGCAGCACTTGTGTGAGCACTGGTGAGGGGCTTTGCTGAACAGGTCTACATGCTATGGCTGGCCTGCCAGGGGCGGGGGGGGGGCGGTCGGGGGGGCGCCTTCGTGCCCCGCCGGCCCCTTCGGCGCGGCGGCCCGCTTGGCCTGCCGCCCCTCGCTGAGGGCCCGGCCCCGCTGTCTGCCCAGGATCAGCCCGGCAGCCCTGAGGGGAGCGTGCCTGTGCGCCAAGTGCGTTTGGGGGGGGTGTGTGGTGGTTTGTTTGTCGGTTTACTTTTTATTGCACACACCTCCACGTGTTGTCACTCTGAGCAGGCTTGCTCTATAGCTCAGTCACATCTGTGATGCATGTTCTTGTCGTTTACATTTTAGAAGTAATATTCTGCCGTACGTTGTTTAAATTTAAACAGATTGCGTGGGTGTAGTTTCATTCTGCCAGAGGGAAAAAAAAAAAAAAAAAGTAGTTTCCCTGCCAAAATATTTGGAGCTCCTAAAATGTATGTGAACAATATTCACTGTTAGTGTTTTCTGTGCTTGAAGTACAAAAGCAGACGTTCGCTATGAATAACTTGTATTTGCGTGAGTAGACTCACTGAAAGACACCTCATGTAACTAGGGGCGTCAGGTGAATCAGGTCTGTAATATTACAGACCCGTTTTTAAGGCTGATTGCTTCTCGTAAAGCACCTGTAAGGCTGAGGTACATGGGAAACTTCTGGTCGCAAGAGCAACTGTTAACATACATCATTGATGTTATTTTGGAAAGCAGTACTACCAAAGGTAAAGTGTGGTGTTTTGTGGGTTTTTTTTAAATTTTATTTTAATTCTGGTCTGTGTCAGGATTTTAAGTTAAAGCTTGTATAACAGTTAATTGGTGAAAGTTACCTATTTTTTTTTTAAACCCAATATTGCATAAAAGCTAAAGATCTGGTGGGACTTGTTGATGAAAGAACAAATTCAACCTCAACCTTTTTATTTCACATTCAAATTGTGTGTAGTTATTTCTTTTAACTTTTTTTTTTAATAGGGAGAGAGAAAGTGGATGAAATCTATAATATAATTGGTTAACTAGTTTAGTGGTGGGACATGTTGAAGAAATTTGAGTTTTTTAATATTCAGTCATGGGACTTGTCATTCAGTGCTTATGCTAAAAGTACACATGTGCTTATAGCATCAGAAGATTATAGTTCCACAGGCTAGCAAAGACATTGATAGTGGTACATTTGAACATCATTTTGAAAAGATAGTTTGCAATTACGTAGATAAAAGACTTAAGTTGGGATCATGACTCTCAGTCCTTAAGAATGGCATAGCTGTAATATTCAAGGTTTTCAGGCTCTCCAAATAGTTCTAATGTGTTTTTGCAGAAGTACAAAGTTAGTGAAACCGTTTTACACCTGTCGAGGGACAGCTGAAGAGTTTAGTGGCTGGAATTAGTCCAGCAGCATTACGCAACACCAACAAACATAAATCTTATATTTAGCTACTTACTTTCCAATGCAGAAATAAATTTTTTTCATTTTTGTGGCATCATAAGGGGACAAACAGGTTTTGGCTTATGTTTGCAATGCATAATTAATAGAACATAAAATCTGTCACTGTAATCTGTCCCCTGCTTACAATTTTTGAGGTTTTTTTGGATCTTATTCTAATATTAGTGACAATGTTGTCTCCAGAGGTTTTTCTTTAGTACTGTTCCATGAACTAGAATCCGAACCTTCTACCAGGAGTCACTGATTGAGAAATTTGCCCTTAAAGTTTCAGGAATAGCTTTTTAACGGTTAGTGTTTTTGATTTTTGAATTGGGCATTTCAGCTTGTCCTTAAGCTATGCTAGCAAATCAAGTGTTTTTTACATTTGGCTGTTTCCTCGAAGATAACTTACAAAATATTTGTAAGTTGTAAAAGGCCACATCATACTATGAAAGATCTGGAAGATAGCAGAAGGCTTTGCTGCCAAGCAGTGCAAGAGGAAGAAGAATGAACTAGTGATGCAAGAAAAATTCACCATTTGAATAAATGTAAAAATAATTTTCAGGCTCGGCTCCTTCATGATTCTGGTATAAGCCATCCAAATTGTGGAAATTTCTCAGAATATTGCATCTTCTTTGTCAGTGAAGACAGAACCATTAAGACCAGTGAGTTCTGCCACTGATAGGTGCAGGAATTGGCATACACAACACATCAAGTTAGTTTTACCAGGAGTCTGTGTGTGAATCTCAGTCAGTGAGAGAGTAAATCCTGTGGTATACTACCAGTTCGAAGACCAAAGAAAGGTTCTAAATAATGAAACTATAAATCTACCCTGAAAAAGAACATTTACTTGGAAACTTCTTCATGGTATTCTGCTGCCTGTTTGTGCCATCAGTGGGTGTGTGTGCTACAGAGACTGTTCTTAGTATGTCCGCCTTGTGATCTTCCAGGATTCCTGAAAAGCCAGTAAGAACAGTAAGGACAACAACGAAAGCCTGGTGGACAAAAAGCCTTTGAGACAAACGGAGAATGGGTGTGGAAGTCTTGACCTGAAAACAATATGATCATTGTAAAATTCTGATATAGATGTTTATTTGAAACAAGACCAGTACCTTGTTTTGTTTAGAAATAAACTATATTGTGCGCTTCATTTTATATAAACACGTGTCTGGAAATTGACCTGTGAGAGGTCTGTATTGCTCCAGCAAGAAATACAGTGAAAAATAACAGAATGTTCTTTTTCGATTTCTTATGCAACGTACAGGAAAATTTTCCAGTGCAGAAAGAAGTGCCAGGAAGTTAAACACTGCACGAAATCACAGAAAACAACAGTGGGCCACTAGGTAATTGGCTGCAAACGAAGAATTGGTTTAGCCAGTTTGAGTTAGTTCTGTGTTAGCAGTCAGTGGAGATATATGTAGCTGTCCTTCCTTCTCTCATGAGCTCTTTTCCTTAATATTTTAGTTACCTGTTTTTAAGATAAAGACGCATCTAAATTTCAGCTCCAGCGCAACAGGCTTCTTATTAAAAACCACCCAAAAATCTTCACAAAAGATGTGGAGGGAAAAGAAACTGAAACCCAAGGAGCAGGTAAAACAGAGTGGCAGCTAAAAATTCAGTGCATCTGAAAATTGCCAGAAACATAGCAATGAGTGGATGACATTCAGGAAGCACTGACAAGTAAAATGAGGAAAGGAGCAGTCAGGATTCTGAGATACAGGATTTGTTTAGCAGCATGCAGTTACCTGAGTAAGGACACGGCAATTAGTTATGCGATTGTGTTACTAAGTTTGAGGAATAATGTAGTGTTTGAGGAAAGAAAAAACAACACACTTCCAAAAGGTATCAATTTTATATGACAGATTTGAAATATGAAGACATTTATGAAGCATTCTTAACAATTTTCAGGCTGTTGAGCTAACTTGGAAGAGC